TTTAGATGTTAATAAATGGAATATATCGGGAATTTTAACGAAACGCTCGAAAATCATTGTTTCAGTTTTTTTACCATTTTGATGATTTATTACCCAATTCCCAATTTTTTGAATAATTTTAGTGTATTTTTTTGCAAAAAGGATAACGTTAAAAAACTGACTCTATTTTATATTTTAGGTTATACAACATGTGTACGATTTTTTGTACATATTTACAAAATATGTGTGTAACAATAATAATAACTATATTGACAACTAATAACAAAAACTATATTTTAAATTTAATATAATTAAAAAACAAAAAATGTCACAAATAAGAAACATAACCTAGTCCGCGCCAATGTAATTAAAAACGTTGGTGAGTAATATAAATAAATGATAGACTTGATAATACAGTATGATGAGTACTAACATACTTACAATGGTTAGTGTCATGGACAATAATTACAAAATAAGATTGGTTTAACAGTAAAGAAACTGTATGATTTACCCGTGATGCAGTACAATTAATTAACAATAAATTTATTAAAATGTGATTATAATGAAAAGTAATTGTTTAAGTCCACATCCAAAAGACAAAATTATTTAAATATGATTTTTTTTCACAAAGAATTGTTAAAGTATACATACTTCTGATTTATTTAAATACAAAATAATTATAAAAGTTCACACCAAATCAAGTTGGTTCACTGATGAAAAAAATGAAGCAGACAAAAAAGATGTTAGATGATGGAAAAACAACAATAATATTACATTCCCACTAATTTAAACGACTTACAACTATAAACAATAATGTAAATCAATACCGTTGAATGTATAAACGTTTGGAGTTTTATTAGTAAGTTAATAACATAGCACTACCACACGACTCGACAAAAATAATATTTTTTAATGTGAAATTCAAAATAAAGTACAAGAAAAACATTAATTACAATTCAATAACTTCAAATGACTCATTGTTCATACATACAAAAAGCACCAATCACAAGAACAACAAATCAAAATATAATATTTACTTTTTGAGTCGGCATTTGTTCAATTAAAAAGTGTTAAAAGTCGCTAAGTAGGGAAAAAATATTGGCAACATTGTAATGTTTGGTTATTTTATTTGATACAACTTCATTATTTCCAAATCGAAATATGTTAGATCAACACACAATACATTATTAAATAATATTCATTTGGACAGAATACATCAAAAGATAACATATTATGTTTATATAATAACTTATATTCCAACTTGTTGTGTTGTTGTGAATTGTATAATGAGTTGTGGAGTTTGGTGAGATATATTTGACAAGTAAAAAACAATCTTTTTTTTATAAGAAGTTATAATAATAAAAATAAATAACTTTTTCATTTTTTGTATAAATTAAATTTATAGTAAATTGTTATTAATATATAATAATTTAATGAAATTAAAGAACATAATATTTAAGAATAAATATGATTTATACTTAAATATTTACTAAATATATTATAATTCTTTTTAATAATAAATTATTATATTTATAATAAAAAATATTTGCATGTTTTCAACTTGTACAAAACAATTTGAATTTATGTTAAGAACACAAAAGTTTTTTTTTGCGTTTTCAAGAGCCTTTTATATTTAAACAGTTTTAGAAAAAATAGTGAACAAACCCGACAATTATAAAATAAAATTTAAACTTATGGCTAAATATTACAAAAGGTAAAAAATTACAAGAAACTATTCGTCTTGAAATCTAAAAAACTTTACACAAAAAAATGTTACGTTTTAAAACCCCTTGATACATAACACCTAAATCCAATTTGGGTGTTTTTTCTTGTATTATGATCGATATAATTAAAACTTGCCCTAAAAATAAACCCCCTTTGTTTTTTTTGTTTTTTATTCGTGTTTTACAACAATATCTTGCAAGGTTCTTGTAAACCAAAAATATAATTTTGATAATTATTTAATTCCGTTGAACTTGCTTGATTTCGCACAAACAGTCTGGTTTAATTCAGACTGTTTTAAGGAACCCAATTTGTTTTTTAATAATTCTTCGATATATCGTTAAAAAGTGTGTACGTTGTTTCCCAAATATGAAATTTATTCAACAAGAAAAGACCCGATATCAGATGCCAAAAACTTGCTGAAGTAATTAATAAATGACACATGATGATGGCATTTACAAAATTTTTTATCTTAAAAAAGCGAAAAACAAAAATTAACGGACAAATTGTTTTAATAAAACAAAATATAGAAACTCCAAATGTTATTTTGATGAAACAAAAGTATAAAGAAATGCGTGACCACCAGGCGTGCGCTCGGTCATTCATCCTTGCCTTGATCAATCGCGAGGCAGAGATCGAGCTATGTACCGAGCAAAAGCGGGAAGGGGTCTCATTACCAATCTTCAAAGTCAATGCGATAAAATTTGAGAACCAAGAGCCGATCCAAGTCAAAAAGATTTTGCGGGAGCGAGTGTATCAGCATTACAAGACTGACTTAGCAAAGAACATCAATGAGAAGACAGCTCGTTGTCGGAAGAAAAAATCTGCTTTGGGTGAGTCGATCAATTTCATTGTAGACATTTTGTTTGTGATGGGATACTCTTTACGGTGTTCCATAAAAGGTGGGAGGAAAGACACAGTAATCGTGGACTATGTCTTTGAGATAAAAAAGGGAAATGTGGTTTACACAAACGAACTGATCCAACATGTTGGACGAAAGCTTTGTGCTGCTTTTCTCTCCAAAAAGTCCGACGGACTTTCTATTGTCCGTATCCAACAAAATGACACGGAAATCCAGCAAACACTCCTTTGTTAATATTGATTGGTCGTTGTGTTTTCCTATCTTATTTCTTTCTTTTTTCTTTTCAATTATATTATTATTTTATTTAACTTCTTGCTAGTATAATTATTTGCGCCTTTTCTGTCGGTCTGCTAAAGTCCCGCTCATCAGCATCTTTTTAACGTTCTTCCTTAACAATAACAAATTCTTTTTGTTCGAAAAATTCTTAAATGTTTGAGAATTTAGGGTTTCATTAATAATGTTGTTTTTAACGGCTTTTCGCTCACATTGGAAAAATATTAATAGACTGAGAAGTATGAGGAAACTGCTGTTTTAAATCATTGAAATGTTAACTACAAATTAGGGAAATACATAAAACTTATTAATATAAACCCAAATTATGACGTAAAAATTGAGGATCGTATTTTTAGCACCATAAATCCAGTGATATTTTAAATTGTTTGTTTGATTATTATTTTTATGTAGTTTTTCCCAAATGAAATTGTCGGGTTTCTGTTTTTCAGTTTTCATTCATTTATAATTCAATTGTAATTTATTCTTAATTTACAAGATTTGATATTAAGAATAATTGTATTTGTTTGAAAAAGGGTTTGTATATTATTTTTTTTTCTTGGATTTTTTCGAAAAAAAAGCAACTGTATTGTCGCCTGTAATTGCATTTTTGAAAAAAGATCAAATAAAGTTAATTATTATTTCAATCAAACATTTTAGAAAAAGCTTTCATGAAAAAAAACAAGCAATCAAACCAAAAGTTTTCAAAGAATTCAATTGAGTGTTAAGTTAAAGGTTTTAATATAAAAAAATCAAAATATAACCACAATTTCTTCAATCATTATTAATCTAGGAGTTAAGTAAGTTTTTTGGCACTCCGATTACTCTTCTTAAAATAACTGTTATAATATGAAACCGCAATTTTTTAAATTTTATTATTTTAAAATGTTATTTTTAATTAAAAAAATAAATCATTATTACACCAAAAAATACACTTTTGGGAAACCAATATAATACCAAATAATTAAAATTTACTATTCCATAATAAAGCAAAAAGTCTAACATTTTTTATCATTTCAAGGTAAAAAAGTTTTTCTTCGTAAGTATTCACGTCTCAAACATCTAAAAATTATTAAAGGTTAAAAGATTTTTTTTAATTTGAATATTAATAAACATTAAAACCCTATTTAAGAGGAAATTGTATAATAACTAAACACCACATTTAAACAAAGTGTGATTTAAAACCGAATATTGCATTTGAAGAGAATGATTGGTAGCAGAGTAAAAAATAAGTGTATAAAATGAACAATTATATTCATTAGTCTGCTTGACACAATTTAATATAAAATAAGGTTACAATTTTCAGTTGTGGTGTTTTATATTTCAAATTAATAAAACCAAATAATCAAAGCATTATTGCTTACAATTTTTGATAAATAATTGTGTTTTAAAAATTTTAATCAATCGTACTTAAAGAAAAAACGGTCAATACAAAAAATAAACAAAAAAATATTGATTAAAAAAGTTATATTTTTATAAAAATATGTTATGAAAAAAATCTATTTTTATATATTTTGTCGAATTGAGTTTACAATTTTAAAAACTATTTATTTCTTTTAAATTAAATCTTTGAACAAAATCATTTTAATCACAATTCTATACCATGTACAAATGTAAGTAAGAGTTCACAATCAATTTCAACCAATTTGTTAGCAATAAAAATATTAATATTCACAACAAAAAAATATGACATACATACAGAATGATTTATTTTAATACATGTATCATACACTAAAAGAGAAAGAAATTTATCGCAAAAACAAGGTGGTTAATGTTACATTTTATCAATATTTTTGACTGATAAATTTTGTAATATTCGAGTCAAATCAACTAAACAATGTAAAAAATAGTAAATTATATTTATGAAAAATGAAATCAAATTTAACAATATTTATTTTTTCAATTTATTGTATTAACTGAATTTGCATTTCAATAAGTCGTTAAGATAACATAATTTGTTTGAAATCTCATTGAATACCAATAAAATATACACAAACAAATATTGTAAATGATCTAATGTTGAAAGAAAAACAAAGCAAAGTTGAATATTAGATTTGTGTTTTGTTTTGAAAGGAGTTGTTTCTTAAAAAATAATATCTTTAATAGTGTTTTCAATTCAAAAATATAAACCTTGAGTTGTAGTTATTTTTACAATTCCAACAAAAATAACTTGGGTTGTATGTACATATAATTAACATTTTTAATATCTTGTAAAGGGTATATTCAAGTTTTTTTTAAAGCAAAAAATTGTTTTTTTATTTATAGAAAAAATAGTGTTGTAATTCTAAAATTAGAGAACTTCCTGTTTTTGAACAAAAAGTAAGTTGGTTCTCTGTGCTCAAATTTAAAAACAGTCAAACAACAAAAATTGTGAAATATAATCACAAAAAAGAATAAAAAAGATACGAATTCAAAACTAACATGTTTTGGTATTTTTGGTATAACTATTATTTTGAAAAATAATTAAATTAATTTGAGTTTTAAAATAATTAAGATGATAATTTTTTCCCTTTGAATGAAAAACATCTTTTTTGTTTTCTTTGTGGTTTCAAGGTAGTCAATTATGTTGTTACGAATTGTTTAAACTTTCAGATAATTTGTGATATATTTGAAGCAAATTTGTTTGAAATGTTTGTAACATTTCGTCATCTTGTATAAATTAAAAAATTACTATTTTTGATATAAAAATAAATAAAATCGTTGAAATTTTAGTGTTTTTATTCATTTTTAAATCAAAAGGGAATATTATTTTGATTACAAATCCCTTTTATTGGTATTTATTGTAATATAGTGAATTCCCTGTATATTTGACATTGTTTGATTTGTTATTTTGATAAAAAGTATAAATTTGTTTTTTTTTCTTTTTTAATATTGATAACTAAAAAAAATTGATCTTAGTTTTCCATTCAAACTAAAAAACTAGTCAAACAAATGTATTAAAATTTTTAATAATTGTGGTTTGAAATTAGACAACAAAAGTCGACTTAATTACTCATAGAGTAAAACAATTTATTTTATTAAAAATACATTGAAAATAAAAGTATTAGTTGTTGTTAACTATATCAGTAACAAAAAAAATGCAAATGTAATTTTCTAAACAATAAGTAATGTTTATTCTCAGCAACAAAAAATGTTTGGTGTTAAGAATTAGTTGCTGTTTTATGAATTAAATAAACGCACACATTTTATACACCAGTTCTTTTTTTTATAAATATTAATGATGCAAGCAATTATTTGAATTAAAACAGAAACAATAATTTAATTTCTGATTTTTATTTTTCATATTAAATGTTATAATACAATGTTAATATCATATCTACATTTTATTCTGATTTGATACAAAAACTATATATTTTAATTATAAAAATACTAATAATATATAACCATGTAAAACCCATTTTTATTTAAGTATAAAAAAGAACAAATAGAGTATTAAATAGACGAAAAACTTAATGGGTGCCAATATATTATTGGATTTATCCTTGTAAAAATTGTGGTTTAAATTATTTTAAAAAAAATTTGACTCTCTAAAAACGTTGTTTATTTGACAAAAATATACACAAAATATGTTTAAAACAATAGGAATTAAGGAAAAGGTGAAAACCAAGTAAATATTATGAAACGATGTTTTTGGAGTGTTTCGAACTGTTTCCCATAATATTCCAGTTTTGATGGTGCAAAAATGCCAGGACAACTTTTAAAGACCAACTTAATCAAATATTGACATGAAAATAGTTGCCAAAGATTTCATTTCTAAAAATAATTCAGGCACCCAGTAATAACTTGATCTGTATACTAATAAAATATGGTTTAAATAATTATTTCATACTGTTTCTATTTATACTATTTCCAAAAATAGACAAATTTATTAATATTTTTTTAATTAATACAATAATTTATAATTACAATTCGGACAATATTGGTTTACAGTTAACGGAAAAAGTGTGATGCTAATCTAAATATTAATTTATTTAATATTATTAATAATAAATAATTAATATAAATTTATTCAGTTTTTCCATTTTATTAATTTTTTGATTAATAATTTATATTAAAATTAATAGTAATTATATTGTTTTAAATTGAAATTAACCAATAGTTACGAGCATCCTCCTTTAACTAGCACTCCCATATTTCCTCCTACTGTAAATACATTTATTATATAAAATATTTTATTGTTTTTTATTTTTTAACTAAAAATTATTAAAATTATAATTCATAATACAGTAAAAATTCTATCGGTGTGTGGAATCATGAAAATGGTTTTCCCAAGGTGTGTAAATTTTTTTTCTTTTCTTTTTTAATTTCTGGCAAAAAAACTAAAAAATAATGAAATTTGTAAAACTACTCACAATCAAGAAAAATGACAAAATGTATTTTTTGTCTTTTTGAAAAAAAACGCGACACGTGTAAACATAAAATAATATTGTGAATTTTTTTTAAATCGTTTAATTGTTTAGAATAAGAAAAACGCATTGTGTTTTTGTATAAACACGTGGACTTTTGGTGCAGATTCTTGTCAATTTACAACTCGAGTGTACCTTGATAATTGCTTCAATTGCTTCTTTGTCTTTTGTTGA